GCTACCTGAGCAGCTTTCCCAGTCTCGTACATTGTACTGACATTCCACGTTCTCATTCTTACTCTTGCTTTCATCGAGAGAAGACACATCTACTGACTGACTGGCCTTCACCAGCCTGCTGTATCATTTCGCCTCTCCAATTCGAACGAAGAATAAGAATGGTGTTATTTGAATTTTTAGTATATCTTCTGTGCTTTGGATTTTCCCTAGCAGGTTGGTAGGTTTGGTGGTGTAAGGTTGCTTGTTAAAATCACGCCCAACCCTTCCTCTTTACCCTGGTTTGGGACCGGCTAGAAAGCTAGCAGGCTAGTTGACTAGGCGAGATTGTGGCAACAATATCTCCGTTTTATTGCTCTAGATAATCTCAAAAGTAGGAATTCGCTAGCCACGTCCCCATTGAATTGCAGTTTCAGGAGCAGTTGTTTCTTTTCAACTGTTGTCAGTTTCTCTTTATTATACTTGGTGTTCATGTGTCTTCTAACAAATCAACTAGGATAACCCATTTGGACCAGCGTATTTTGGATGTATCCTAACTCATTTTCTAGGGAGTCATCTGTATAGACCCTTCTAGCTCTGTTTGTGAGGCATCTAACCCAATTGACTTTGTATCGGATTGGTACAGAACGGAAGAAATGTATTGATTGTCCTACAAACGTAAGTTTTCTACAGACATCTCTCTTAGTGAACCATCCTCTCTTCTACTCAATTGGACATCAAGGAAGTGTAGTCTACCATCATGTTCTTCTTCACAAGTGAAGATAAGCGACGGATGTGCATCATTAAATTTTATTAACATTTCATTCTTGTCAGCTTTCCTGTTCAAGAATAACAAACGTATCATCAACATAGCGAAAATAAGAATCAGTTTTATCTATTACTTGTTTCGATGGACCATTTTCAAGCTTAGCAAGAAAGAAATCTGCCAAAACTAGACCCAATGGAAAACCCATGGCAATACCGTCAATTTGTCTGTAATCAAGGTTGTTGAATGTGAAATGGACATTCATAGTGTATCTTAAAAGCAGCTCTTTCAGACTAATAACTGGAATTCCGATGTAGAACTGCTTTTCTAGTATCGGTTGGCATATGAATTCGACAGTCTCCATAGGTGATACTCTGCTGAACACAGTGATGTGACATCTAAGGAGGATAGTATTTGCTTCCCGTTTACATTGATATCATCTACGTTAGCAATGAATTCAAAGACGTCTCTAACAGTATGGATTTACCGCATTCTTATGTAACAGTTGGAGATCCCTTCTACACTTAGCCGAAGCCATAGGAATTAATTCGAGAGAACAATCCTAGCCTTTACATACAACAAAAGAAGTTTTTTCTACCTTTGTCTCTCCCTTGCTTGCCTAGGTGAATTCTATTCAAAACCCTACCACACTTTCTTATTTTCCATTTCCTCCGTGTTTTAATGATATTTATTTAAACTCTGATTATCTGTCCACATATTACTACCTACGTCATTGTTATCGCCACCTGCATAAACCTTATTATCACCATTATTTTGTTATCATTATAATCACCGTTACCACTGACGTTCAAAACATTTAACACATTATTATTATTCTAATTTGGTCTACAAACCCACTGTGATTATGTATAAATCTATGTAAATTGGAGTAAAGCCTGACGAAGATCTAATTGAAAACAATATTGTTTGCTTATATGTCTTGTTCTAATATTAACACATTGTCCAAACAGTACTTAAAAACATGATCTAGGTGAGATTTGCTCCTTAGTTGATGAATAGCATTCATATTTGCACTGTAATGATGATGATAGATGTCGTTAGCCTACGACTAACATGCGTTCAAGGTCATTGGAGCGTTCATACCCCTGCGACTCTATACTTTAACTTCACCCAAAATGTAATTTAAAACGCAAGAAATAAAGTATAATTTTCAATTATTGATTTTGTAGGGATTTTGTTTGATTGATTGGTTGGAGGATTTCATCATGAGCTGATATCAGTTAGAGAAGGTGAGGCACTAACTCATCGAAGAAGACATTGTAAAGTGATCACGCCATATCATGAATTGGCAGAAGTTAGAATTCATCGGCTGGCCATTAGATTGGCGGGACTCAGTGGCTTAATGGTCTACGAGCTAGCTCGCCTTGTAACCAGAAGGTCCCGTGCTCGAACCCTGTCGGTGGGTGGGTGTGTACTGATGAAGAGTCCCAATCGAGGCTGACGAAACAGTTGTCCAGTACTCCCTAGCCGGTTTTCCAATGGTTCTCTAATTGATGTCAGCTCATGATGAAATCCTCCAACCTATCTATAGAAGAATTGCATTACTAAGCTTGGAAACAAAAGGACAGACAGAGTTCAACAGATGTTTAGTGGTTAGAAATAAAGTTTAACTAGAAAGAGTAATAGGTTAAGTAACCACAGAAAAACACGTTTTTTTATAAAATAGACAAAAAAGGAGGATGGGTGGGTGGGATGAGTCATGTTTGAACGAAAAAGGCAAGGTTTCTAAACAGGACAGATGACAACAAAGTGAAATTTGTATGCATTGTTATCACCAAGGCAGTACAAAATTCACCATTGTCTCTTTCTGCTTACATAGCTTTGGTTTTAGCCGTTTGATGGTGATTGCCTGAACAAAACGAGGCAGGCTAGATTTCTTTTGTCTGTTGATTATTTTGAACGCCTTCTCCTAATGTGGTGAGAGCTGGCTGCTAGCCAAAGTTGGTAGACAGTAATTGACGTCAATGTTTATGTCCCCAATATTGGTGATGAGAAAATGAGAACAAAGGCTTTGCGTAGGCGGATACAGTTAGCATATGGATGATCTGACACAGCCACAAAGAGATGCAAGGTTAACTTTCTGTGAGAAACAACCAATCAAAAGACTGTATTTTCTACTAACAATAATTTACAATAATGTACATTAAAATCTATAAATATGTGTTGATTTTCCTTAATAAACGATCTGTTGCCTGGCCCTTGTCTTCTGTTGTTACACTAATACACTATGCTAAGTCTTTGTTTGTGCCTTTTGTTTTGACATTGCTGTATAATGTTAGAAGGCGGTGTTTGGTGTATTAGAAATTTTCACAAAACAGTCGAATTTTCGTATATCGCATAGGCAATAAATTCTAGTCGCAAACACTAACAGTAAACAAGAAATCCAGGCTCACAGTCATTCACTGCCATTCGACTTTTTTTTTTTTTTGATTTACAGCTTGATTTCCACACCGTATTTTCAGTACAAGTGTGGAACTTTCAGCATGGATATCGGTTGCCCAAATTCAGGCATACCGTAGATATCGGGTGTGCGCCGGCAGGGGTTCGAACCCCGGACCATGTGCATGGTCGGCGAGAGTCCTAACCACTGTGCCACCGACTTGAACTGTTTGGCATACTTCTGTTACAGTGATTATTATTTGTCCCTTGGAATCAGTTGAAATTGCCATTTCACTAGATTCTCTTTAGTCTTGTTTTTAGCTGCTGATTCTACGATTGACTTTAAAGTTTCATTCCCTCCTCTCATAATACTCTCTCCCTCACGTTATCCTAGAATCCATGCCTAACTCGTCGTTTTCTCTTTCGTGTTCTACTTAATGGTTCCGTCTGTTGCATAATTTTACGCAACGATCCTTTCATCAAGGCAAGCTCGCCTTGTAACCAGAAGGTCATGGGTTCGAACCCTGGCGGTGGGTGGGTGCGTACTGATGAAGAGTTTCAAAATAGGACGAAACAGCTGTCCCGTACTCCCTAGCTGGTTTACCAATGGGGTTCTCTAACTGATGTTAGCTCATGATGAAATCCTCCAACCAATAAGGAAGAAACATAACTTAGTCATTAAACCACCATAAACTACGGCATATATGCAACCTAAAGCGACTCCGAAATCGAGAGTAAGCGACAAAGAAAAAAAAAAACAAAATTGGCACATTATTTGAAGAAATGTTCTTCTTTTTTAATTTTAATAAGTTGATTTTTTTGATCAAACAAATTAGACATAGCAAAAATAAAATGGTCGAAATGAAATTCAAAAAGAAGTACAAGAAGCAGGCAGTAAAATAAAAGAAAAGCGAAAAGAGAGAAAAAAAGTAATTGAAAAATAATAATAATTCATAATATATTAAAATATACATCACACCTATTTGTCTTTTGTTTTGGTTAATCCTTCTCTATTTTACTCTTCGGTGTATATATCTCTAACTGGAATTCTTTGTGTCTGTTTGTCTGTCTACTCTCAAAGGAAATAAACAACCTCGGAAAGTAAACGAAACATTGACGAGCTCGCTCGCTCGCGGGCGCGCACACCTTCCACACATAAGTCGACATAGACAAGAAAAGAAAACGCTGAGAAAAGTCAAAAGAACAAAACCGAAAGGAATGACGGTGTGGAACTGGCTGTAGAAATACTCTCGTCGATAAAAAAAACAGAATAGTAATAATGATATAAAATAATAATAATAACCGCATTACATCATAGAAGTAAAGCACAACTCATTCGAGTACTGTAAACATAATATTACTATGATTGTGTTGCCAGACAGCCAGACAGACAGGCAGTCTGCCCCTCAGGGTAGGAATGCGGGGAGTCAACTGAGTAGAGGTGAGTAACACAAACGCACACACCAACCTTCGCAACACAATAAGTGGTGCCATACAGACCAGACCACCCCCCCAGTGGTTCTAAAGACAACTGAGAACTGTCAGAGATAGCAGAAACACACACATAAATTGAAAAAGAAAACATAAATAAATAAAAAAGTCAAAATAAAATATGACAATAAAATATTTTAATGGAAACTTGGAAAAATTAAAGGGAAGCTGAGGAAAATCGATCGATCGATAGATCGCATGTCTCAAATTCTTGTTCATGGCTGCATGGGGCTGCATGATAAACGAAAATTCAACAGTAAGTCGTCAGTAAGCAAATTGGGGGGGGGGAGGAAAGAGAGCTGGCGGGAAGGAGGAGCAGCGAACGATAAGCAAGATGAACAGAAAATACAGCGTCACGCTATGTCGTATAATAATAATGATAATAATAATAAGTTTACGTAATAAGACCTATAAAAATGCCTACCTATTTTGTTTGTTGTATATTTATTGTCCTACCCAATCCCCTACCCTGAAGCAGCACCTGAAGGTTTTATTTCTAGTGAGAACAGAAAAAGTTTTACAGCGAAAAAGAAAACATTACACTACAAAATATTGTCAACAGCGAAAAGTCAAGAGGAGCAGTCGAAATCCGTACACATACTCAAATCAAATTAGATTGTTCAAGTTAAGAGGAGGTAGGCGACGAGACGACGACGGTGGAAGGAGAAGGGGGAGGCGCCGCTGCATAAGAAGGTTATTAAAATAATAGAATAATAGTAATAGTAACAAAAGACTGTAATATAATGAGTGTTACTCAATTTAATTTATACTTTGGAAATGATAAACCTAATCGTGATTCAATACCACAGAATGTTGTTGTTGCAAATCGATAACCACCAATATGATCTGGATTAGTTGATACCGGTTGTACAGGACGATCCAATGGTTTACCAGAAAGTTGTCTATTAAACGAAGAAAAAATAAATATTCATACTTATTAGTTAATTTTTAAGAAAAACCCATTTAAAATCGAAAAAAAAAGATTAAAGGTGTTCATTGCCAATTTCTAGAGACTGATTAAAGAACAAAGGATACTTCGACAATGTATTTTTTTATGATGACCACCCCCACTTCCCAGTGCAATCATCCAAGATGTGAATTTCCTTCCTATTTGTGACTCGTGAGTTGGATGTATATACGTTATCCCTGAGGATGGATATTGTTCTCAGTAAAAATTGAAAGCTGTGCACTCATCAACTAGGCAACGAGGTCGTCCACTAACAAAAACCACATTGAAATTTATCCAAATTCTCACCAAAAATCCCTAAAATATAAATATCAATCTCTAACTCATCTATAGCGGGCAATAAGGAAACAGGCATAAAATGGGCCCACACCAAACACTTGGGGGATCTGGACTTCGCCGATGATGACATATATCTGATTTCCCACAAACTGGAAGATATGCAAGTGAAAAGCAACAAGTTGGAAGAAGAAGCATCCAGAGAAGATAGAACATAGAGAGAGAGGTGATGAAGATTCCTGGCCAACACCACCAACAGCAACAACAACAACAGACAGCAATCAGCCAGCATAAATGGGAGGAACCTGAAAGAAACAACCTCTTTTACCTACCTGGGAAGCATCGTTTTAACTACAGACGGAACTGATGAGGATATCAAAGCAAGAATCGGAAAAGCAAGACAAGCTTTCATTACTCTCAAGTCTGTGTGGAGGTCAACAGCACTCAACATGAAAATGAAAATAAGATCCGGATTTTCAACTCCAATGTGAAGTCGGTACTACAGTTAGTGCTACTATACGGATCAGAGACTTGGCGCGTCATAAAGAGATTCTCAAACAAACTACAGACCTTCATTAACAGTTGTCTTCGCCCAATACTCAAGATCAGATGGCTGGCCAGGAAAGATCAGCAACAGAGATCTCTGGCAATGAGCGAACCAACACAGCAGGAACCGATTGTGAAACAAATATGCAGGAAGAAATGGAGATGGATTGGCCATACTCTGAGGAAACCATCAAGTGACATCACTAGACAAGCCATTGCTCGAGTGGAACATAAAAGGGAAGTGGCGAGTTGGTCGTCCGAGAGAGGGGTGACTTGGAGGAGGTCATGTGAAGAGGAGATGAAAACGTGTGGGCAGACTTGGAGCCAGGTGGAGACTCTAGCGGAGAACCGAACGCAATGGAGACACACGGCTGAAGCCCTATGTTCCTCTAGGAATTAAAGAAAACTATAATAATAATAATAACTCATCTATGGCTAGTGGGTAGAGGATGTCCTTGAAGCTGTACCAAGGAATAGTGACCTTGTAGGGGTTCGATCTTGTCAAGGTGAAGTGGATGTCTATCAGAGAGGCGCATTGGTTGAGTGTAGCGCTATAATATCACGAATTAACACAAAGTTAAAATTCTCAGGTCAGTGGATTCCAGCCCCCTCCCCACTGAAGTGTCTGAATGGTCAACGACCTTGACCTCGTAACCTAAAGACCCCGTGTTCGATATCTCTGGAGAGGTTATGGGTATACACACTACCGTAGAGTCTCAAATCTAGGATATGTCAGCTGTCCAGTGATCTCTGTGTAATTGGTGTTGATTCATGGCAAAAACTACATTGGTGTGGTTGTGTTCTCTGAGCTCCAGCTCAGAGAACACAACCACACCAAAATCATCCACCTGAGCTACAAATCTTCTCTATTATATCTAAAAACTACATTGAAAGGATATACAAATTAAGGAATAAGTTATAAGAAAGAATATTCATTTTCCATTAATCAGCCCAAAGAGAAAAAAATAAACAAGAATAGCGCTTAAGAACATTTTCACATAATTGTGATACACTCACTCTCATAGGCGAAATGTTTGGGTAGTTGTAAGCTTTCACGAGGTCACTTAGACAAATGACAAAGCCATGAGCTTAAATACCAGTTCGTTATACATATATATTCAAGTTTGGTCACAGAATGATATCAGTTAGAGAACCACTGAAAACCACCAAGGAGTACTGGACAGCTGTTTCGTACCAGTTCAGGACTCATTCGGCGGTACGCCCCGACCTCCATGTTTCGAACACACGCCCATCCAGTTACAAGTCAAGCTCGTAGAGCATTCAGAGACTGGGACCCCATTCAATGGCCAGCCCATATATTCCAACTTCTACTAATTCGTGATTTTAGCGCGACTGGCACCAGTCAGTGTCATCCATCGGTGAGTATTTGTCCTCACTGCCGACCAGTTGGACCCCACTAGTTACAACATCTCAACAGAACTCCAGTCAACTTCGTCCAGTAGTCAGTCACTAGAGCAAGCACCAGATTAATTTTCAATGAGTCTGTTTGTAGGGATTTGAAGTTAGAATTCACGGTCTAGCTATTGAGCCGGACGGTTGTCGTGGGTTCAAAACCTGACGGTGGGTGTGTACTGCAGAATAAGTCCTAAACGAGGAGAGAAACACAGTTGTCCAGTACTCCCTGCCAGTTGTCATTGGCTCTCTCTAACTGATATCAATCAGTGATCAAAGCCCTACAAACCAAGAAAAAACAACTCATGACAATACATACATTCAGTTTTACGTTTTCTTTTCTGCCGTTTTATTATTACAATTGTGTAAGACATCAAAACAGTGCTTATATAGATGGCATAGAAGACTCCAAGCCTTTTATACAAGAAATAAAACAGAGCTAAAATCTCATTCTACACATGTGATTTGTAACAGTCATTGAATGAACCTTGGACCAATGAGTTAGCAGTAAAATATACATAATATTTTTTCAGGGGGATTATAAAATACTTCGTATGAATATTTAATTGAATTATGGATTTTCCCATCAATTAATTGGACCGAAGTGCTCGATCTCAGGTTGACATGTCGCTTTCTTGTGCAGATGCTTCAACGATGTCCTGTTTGGGACTCGTCATCTGGGTGTACCTGCATTTCCCAGTGAGTGATGATGTTCCCACCGAGGCTCGAACCCAAGAGGTGGCTCTCGTGGTCCAAGTGGTCTAGTGGATAACGCTTTGGCGTTTGAAACTATGGTCACTGGGTTCGAGCCTCGGTGGGAACATCATCACTGACTGCGGAATCCGGGTACATCCAGCTGGTGGACAAGTCCCAAATAGGACGAAATGCGTATCCTGGTGGATTCCACTGCTAGTCACCATCCACCAATTAAATCCAAATTACACTATGAATATAAGTGTAAAACTTGGGCATTGTGACAGTATGTAATTTTATATTAATTTGTTTATTAGATACATCATACAGTGAGACATTATTATTATTTACTGGCTGACGAAGTTTTCAACACAATTTATTGATTTTCATAATCACATCAGTTGTAAATACACAACTTCAAAATTGTCAGCAGTAAGTACTTGCATACAAAGTAGGAACCTCGAAAGCTTACGTTGAATTTTTAACAATGCAGGGATAAAAGTGGCTGGTATTCAACCCCCCTCCCCTACAAACTCACTTAGAAGCAAACTTTGTTGGTTAAATGATCCTGTGCAGCCAATCAAATAAAACAAATTAGTTCAAGACATTGCGAAGTGGTCGCGTTATGTCTTGAATTGCCAGAAGTTAGAATTCATGGGCTGGCCATTAGACTGGCGGGACCCAGTGGCTTAATGGTCTACGAGCTAGCTCGCCTTGTGACCAGAAGGTCCTGGGTTCGAACCCTGGCGGTGGGTGCGTACTACTAGAGCGTCTCAAACTAGGATGAAACAGCTGTCCAGTACTCCCTGCAGGTTTTCCAATGGTTCGGTAACTGATGTAAGCTCATGATGAAATCCTCCAACAAAACATAGAAGAACTATTTAAAATGCAGGAATAAAAAAGGTTGGCAATCAAACCCACAAACAGAAACAAGCTTTGTCGGTTAAAGGATCCTGTGGAGTCAACTAAACAAAACAATTTAGTTTATCTAATACCCTGTTGCAATGATTGTCAGGTTAAATACATAGATCAAAGTGGTAGAATGGGGTCAGTTACACAAGTGGAGCAAAAACACCTAGCAAAATCTCCATTAGTTGACCCGAATATTATAAGAAATCTGCAGAATAGTTTAGCTATACCACTCACTACTTGCTATTACACACATCGATACAATAGGATGGGATAAGATGACAGTTCTAAAATCTAATGTAACAGCAGGGTGGAGGGAGAGATCGATAATGGAAGCTTTATTTATCGAATCAACTGCAAACACGTGTAATAGGAGGGATTCAACACTTGTCTACCCAAACATCTGGACAAATCTACTACCCCAACGACGAATAGGAGAGGACAAAGAAGTTTCGAAGTTGTGTGACTATAATCGATGACATGATTATGAACAATAATTAAAGTGTGTTCGAAACTTCGTCATCCAGTAAATAATAATACCGTTTCATCACTGTGTGATGTTTCTGACAAACGAACATATGGCCTAATCGGTCAGCACAAACATTGACAGGCCTAACTGGAAACGAGATAAATTTTAAAATTATCGAAATATAAAATAATTTCAACATTTCAATCGATAAACTTCACCAGGGAAATTATCGAAACTTAAAATATCAGGTGTTACATACACATAGGCTTCTTGTTCAATCATGTCTGAGTTATGAATAGCCAACAAACGAAAACTTTTGTTTTTGTGACCATTACTGTCTTTTCTTGAGGTTATATACCGTGGACAGTATGTGTCTGCGTGTGTACTTTTCTACTAATCTTTAATAAACGTATTTTGATTGGACACTAGCAACTAGGGTGACGTGTCTAGCCTTCTTTGTTTGGTGCAGACTAAATTCAATCAGTCAGGTTTGCAATGTGGTCACCATTCTAGGTAGCTAGCCATCACGATGCACATTGATTTGATGATATTAGAGGCAATCGGCAGGAAGCCTCACCTGACCTAGGTTTCGTGCTAGCTGGCACTCGTCAGCAAGGAACTCATGTCCCTTCTGAGATTCGAACCCGCGTCACGCCTTGCTGACTGTGAGTGCCAACTAGCACGAAACCTAGGTCAGACGAGGCTTCCTTCCGATTGTCTCCAACTATCTAATATCTTTAATAAACGTGTCAGGATAAAGATCACTAATATTTAATTACGTAAACAAATTATCCCTAATACTTGTTGAACGTCAAAGTTACTTGTTGTCACCATGTCCATGAGTTTGTATGCATGTTAACCTTATATATATAAAGTGTACAGCTGATGAATCCTATCGAAATAGATGAAATCATTAATTGCTGCTTCTTTTTTTTTACAATTTTTGTTTGTTTTATTGAAAGGTCAAGGTTACATGGAAGCAGAGTAGTAAGGGGATGTATGTACCATTTTGAACTTGATATATATAACCCACACACAGACTAGCACGATGGTCTATCAAGTCAGAATTTAAACCGTACAAATATTGATTAGCTATACAGTGTGTGTTAGTCAGATAAACAACCAATCAGATTTCAGCATGTTGATAGACACCCACTACTCGGCCCATGCTGAAGGATAATTAGTTTTCGTGTGATATCTTTTTCTGTATTATTACTATTATTTCTTTACTCGCACGTTTGGAACACGCACATCCCAATATTAATGTACGTGAATTCTTGGTAATTACGGCTTTACGTCAGGGAAAATATATTAGGAAATTGTCAGAGGTTAACCTTATTCATATGGAGATTCAGAGATTATAATAATTTGGAGAGATGAGGAAAACTATAGATCCTACAAAAGTGGAATTATTAACAGAGAGCAATAGAATTTGGCTCAACTGTATCACTAAACCAACCTGTTCATACCATTGCCATGGAAAAATTATGATCCAGATGTAAATGTCACTTTTAATACATGGTATCGGCGAAGCGAGAACCTATTTAAGGCTGATTTTCAATGACTATATTTGGAAGGTAAGACTGTTGCTATATAAGCAGAGTGTGACAGAGTATTGTCATTTGATTCTTCCTTAAAATCTTTAAATATGCCCATTTTTAATATATTAGAACAAGACATATAATAGGCGGACAGTATTGTTGTTTTCAATTAGATCTTCGTCAGGCTTTACTCTAATTTACATAGATTTATATATAAACTTCTTTTGTTGTATGCAAAGACTAGGATTGTTCTCTCGAATTATTTCCCATTGCTTCTTCGGCTATGTGTAAAAGACGGATTCGAATCCCGTTCGAAAGGCTCGATGGAATGTGATAGATAACTTTGAAGGCACTATTTTTGTCCACTTGGTGAGTGCTATCAATCAAATGAGACAGAATAGAACTTCTTATAGATTTTATTTGACCTTTTCCGAACCATGAAGGAAGATGCTCAGTGATGATGCGTTTGTTAAGCTGTCTAGTTGTTCGCCCTATATAGCTCTCTCCACAGGAGCAACTAAATTTATAGATACACATAGAAGTGGCACAGCTGGGTAACTTGTCTTTCACTTGAGCAATCATAATTGGTCGGCTGGAAAATGACAAACAAAGGGTGGCGGCAGTATAAGTCCGTTTTATCGCTCTCGATAATCTCAGATGTAAGACTTCGCTAGCCACGTCCCCGTTAAATTGCAGTTTCATGAACAGTTGTTTCTTTTCAACTGTTGTCAGTTTCTCTTTAGTATACTCGGTGTTCGTGTGTCTCCCTACAAATTTACTAGGATAACACATTTGGACCAGAGTATTTTGTATGTATCCCAACCCATTTTCTAGGGAGTTATCTGTATAGACCCTTCTGGCTCTATTCGTTAGGCATCTGACCAAATTAACTTTGTATCGGATTGGTACAAAACTGAAATATGTTGATTGTCCAACAGACGCAAGTTTTCTATAGACATCTCTCTTGAGTGAACCATCCTCTCTTCTGCTTAATTGGACGTCATGGAAATGTAGTCGACCATCGTGTTCTCCTTCAGCTTGCACATCAAGAATAACAAACGTATCATCAACATAGTGAAGATAAGAATCAGTTTTATCTGTTACTTGTTTCGATGGACCATTTCCAAGCTTACCAAGAAAGAAATCTGCCAAAGTTGAACCCAATGGAGAACCCATGGCAATACCGTCGGTTTGTCTGTAATAAAGGTTGTGGAATGTGAAATGGACATTCATAGTGCATCTTAAAAGCAGCCTTTTCAGACAAGTAATTGGAATCCCTATGTCGAACTGTTTTTCTAGTATCTGTTGGCATATGAATTCCACAGTCTCCATAAGTGATACACTGGTGAACACAATGATGCTACATCTAAGGAGGATAGTATTTGCTTCCCATTTACATTGATATCATCTACGTTAGCAATGAATTCAAAAATGTTTTCCTTAAAACCTAAGCGATAGGTGTGGTATCTTGATGATCCAGTCAAGTTATTGAGTAAAAAAAACGTTTGAAGACCCACTTTTCACTGCTTGACATATGATATCAATGTCCTAAACTGATAATCAATGAAAATGTTGATCGCTTAATTCAAACGAGTTCGGTCAACAAAAAAATGATGTGTGAGAAAAAAGTAAATCAAAAAACTTACCTTCCACCGAAATCCATCGAAAGATATCGTTGTAACATTTCATAGGATAAAAGTGTAACACCGAATTGTGGGCTAGATCGAAAAACGCGAGCTAGTGATCCTTTCCAGAATGCACGACCGCCTTCTTCACGCCAAATTTTACGAGCTGCATCAATCACCCCGGTATAAGTTGTTTGTCCTGTACGTGCAACAACCTGATGTTTACAACGATAACAACAAAAAGCGGGAATAGAAATGGAAATCAAGTCACTTCTCAGTCTAATAAGACATATACTCTTTTAAAAAACACACAACATTTGTTGCAGTTTATTCACAAAGTTTTAATGAAGATGCCCTGTGTAAAGAATTTTTAAAAATGCACACTCATTACAACTTCGTGAAAAGCTATTTTGCGTTTGGGAGTAAAAAGATAAACTGCTGCTTAACTTCGTCTCTTCTATGTGTATCTACCAATTTGACTACTCCTGTGGAGCCACTTATTGTAGAGGCCATACAATTAGGCGTGTTTCTTGTCGGATTTCCAAACATCATCCTGCGTGGTTAAGTAAAGGACAAACTAAATCTATGCTTAGCGCTATTCTATCTCATCTTGTGGATGCAGAACACAAGATTGATGTTAACGAGGCGGCTTTCAAAGTCGCCTACCGCATACCACCTAATCTTATCTTCACCTTAAGAGTTCGTCTACTACATATTTCTGAGACTGGCTCTTGGAATCCATATTAAGAAACCTAACCTATGTATCCAAAACAAGAAGTTGGTTGGTTCAGACACTGTCCTTATCCCCCCGGCCATCAAGGTTTTAGTGATCCTCAATTCGTTGTGGAAATTTCCTTCATTTTATTTAATATTCTATTTGCTATTATATTTGTATGCTTATTATAATTTATGCACTTTTAGTGAACTGTAATTCTATTGTGATCTTACTTAACAAATCGATAATATTTAAAAAACACTAATATTGTTAATGACGATTATTCTAGAATATTCTACACGGTTGAGGAGAATCTACGAAAAGAAAAACGCAGTCAGTATTAACCTGCAAAAAATTTGTTCGTTCTTTCTTTCTCTGATTGAATTTCCTTTTTCATACTGTAACGATTTATGCAACAAGTAATCATCTTTCGTTCGATAGTATTTTTTAAGAATTCTATTCAACTCAAAATATTTGCTATGTGAGTATAAGTCACCTCACTACTTCATTAATTGAAACTGATATAATTTTAGATGCGCAATTAAATTCCGCGTAGAAAAATGTATACTGACTGACTGTTTGAATGTTTTCGAAATAGGAAAATGTATACACTTTGCTATTATTATGATGATTATTATTGTCTCCTTCAGTTCTAAGAGGAACATAGGGCTTCAGCCGCACTTCTCCATTGCGTTCGCTTCTCCACCAACGTTTTCACCTGGCTCCACATCTGCCCACATGCTTTCATCTCCTCTTCACATGACCTCCTCCATGTCACCCTCGCACTGAAGACCAACTCGCCGTTTCCCATTCGGGTTCCACTCGAGGGCCTGTCTTGTGATATCACTTGATGGTTTTCTCAGAGTATGGCCAATCCACTTCCATTTCTTCCTGCTTATTTGTTGCACAGCCGGTTCCTGCCGAGTTGGTTTGCTCCCAGAGATCCCTGTTGCTGATCTCTTCTGGTCGGGTATCTGATCTAGAGTAGTGTTGAGCGGAGACAGCTGTTGATAAAGGTCTGTAGTTTGTTCGAAGTGCTCTTCATGATTTGCCAAGTCTCTGATCCATATAGTAAGTAGCACTGACTTCACATTGGAGTTGAAAATCCGGATCTTATTTTTGATGCTGAGTGCTGTTGACCTCCATACAGACTTGAGAGTAATGAAAGCTTGTCTTGCTTTTCTGATTCGTGCTTTGATATCCTCGTCATTTCCGCCCGTCTGTAGTCAAGACGATGCTTCCCTAGTGGATAGGTAAAGGAGGTTCCTTCTTTCAGATTTCTCCCGTTTATATTGATTGTTGTTATTGCCATTGCTGTTGGCCAAGAATCTTCATCACCTCTGTCTTCTCTATGTTCACCTGAAGTCCTGTCTTCTCTTGATGCTTCTTCTGCCAACTTGTCGCTTTTCAACTGCATATCTCCCTATTTGTAGGAAATCAGATGTATACCATCGGCGAAATCCAGATCCCCCAAGTGTTTTGTGTGGGTCCATTTTATGCCTGTTTCCTTGTTGCCCGCTGTCTGTCGCATTATCCAGTCAGGAGAATTATTGGAGATGGTAGGCAGCCAGCTTGGCTTACTCCCGTTTTCTCTTCGAAGGATTCCGTGAGTTTCCCGTTATCAATTTATTGGCATGCAGCATTGTCGTACAACTGTTGGATGAGGTGTATAAATTTTGGCTGCACCCCGTACTAGCGAAGTAGTTGCCAAATTACCTCACGATTGACGCTGCGCTATCGAAAGCCTTTTCATAGTCAATGAAGTTAAGATAGAGAGGTGACTGCAAATCCAAGCTGTGTTCAGTGATGATCCGTGGTGTTGCAATCTGATCGATACATGACTTCCTCCTCCTGAATCCAGCCTGTTCCGGTCGAAGTTTTTCATCCAGGGCGTGTTTACTTCTCTCCAGGATGATGCGGCTTAGTATTTTGCTTAGGGTGGGCAGGAGCATAATTCCGCGCCAGTTCTTGCATTGACTTAAGTCCCCTTTCATTGGCAGTTTGAATAAGTAGTCTTTCTTCCAATCCGCAAGTACCTTGCCCTCTTTTCACATCTTCTCCAGTAGTTGTGTCATCAAGTCCGCTGATGTCTCTGGGTCCATTTTCAGTGCCTCTGCTGGGATTCCATCTGGTTCTGCTGCTTTTCCAGCTTTTAGCATCTTGATTGCCTTCAGGATCTCTGTTTTCGTCGGAGGGTTGATATCCACTGCTAGTTCTGCTTCTGCTGTTGCTATTATTGGGCGCGTTGTAGGTGGCGGTCGATTTAGAAGTCTTTTGAAGTGTTCAAACCAGTGTTTCCTTCGCTCCACCTCCTCTTTGGTGATTGACTTTCGATTATCATCCTTCATTGGCATAATTTGTGTTGATCTCTTCTCCGATAAGAACCTAGTTGTCTGGTAAGAGTGTTGTGAGGTCTCCTTTGCCTGCACTGCAGTTTGTTTGTTCTGCTTCACTTGCCGTAGCTTCAAAATATTTTATTTTGTCTTCCCTGGCACTCTTCTTTACTCTTTCGTTCAGTTTATTGCAACTTGCATTCATCTCCTCTTTTTGTTGCTCATCGATACAATGGATAATCTTTTGTTTCAAAAGATACTGGCAACTTATTGCGTTTTACAATTGTAAGAACCTATTGAAGTGAATATACTCTACGCTCATACAAACTTTGAGCATATAATATTATCAAATGATGAGATATGTAGAAGGACTAAAAAAACTTGCTTGAAGTCAAGTGTTTAAACAGTGTAACTCGTTTTCATCATTCCTTGCGTTCCAAGTAGAACATAACAGACTTCAGATTTTGAATTTGCAGTAGCGGTCGTGTTGTCTTTCCATGGAGGAGGGGTGGGGTGAGGACGCTAGCCTCCCGCTCACATTTCCCTCCTAACCTAGCTTACTACCTACCAGTTAGTAAACTAGGCAGGATTTACGAGTGCATCGATTAGGAGTCGAACCTGGATATCCCGCGAGACTAACGAGCCTCTCTACAACATTATAGAATCACAGAATAGAATTCAAAGGTGACATCGAAGCAGAAATCCTTCGTAAACGCCTCTGCAAATCTCTGAGGAAAACATATTTCGCCACGAGCCTACGACTAACGTTTTCCTGCAAGAAACTGTTCAGCCAGAACGCGAAAGACAAGCTGTCACACTGAGTCACTTTAACGTACATCTACCAGTTTACTTGCTCGTGAGGAGCTCAGTACATCGGCCGTAACATGCGCCAAATTGAAAAACGCACTCTAGAACATTATCCAGTCTGGCTAGTAAAAGGAGAACGAAAACGTGTATATAGTTCAGTGACAGAACATTTGATCAATTCAGGACATTCAGCGCCATTCGAAAAATCCTTCAAAACAATACACTAGATTCGATCAAACCTATCAAATGGAGTAAAATCAAGACATCTAGGCATAGCCGAGGCACTAGCCATCCAAAAGCTCAAACCCAATCTATGTATCCAAAAAAATACGTTCAACCCTTGTCACTGCCATGGTCATCATAAACAGGTAATTCTTCTAATAGTGACTATCCCATTGCCTTTCTTATCCAAACTTCCTGTTTCTTCAGGCTATTTTTAATTTTTTCTTAATCCTAATTTACACTACCATATTTTCATATCCGAACTTCCTGCCTATTTTGTCATTCTATTATTTCTGCATATTTAATTCCCAATTGTATAAACAATTATTCATCACATTAGTTATGATCCCACTAGATTTTTTATCCAAACATCCTGTCTATTTTTGTTATTTCTACATTTCTAAACCCTAATTGCACAACAATGTCAATCTTCTCAGTAATTATGATGCTACTTTGTTTGAGTTTTATCCTCCTCCCACCCCTGTTTATTATGGCATTTTAATTCCTAATAGTAATTTTATTAATTTGACCCTTAACCGGAAATTATTCTGGAACTTTCCCATCCATATGATATAAATACACGAATGTACAGCCTAGTTGATGACTTCGTCGTAACGAAAATTTTCTTCCCTGCATCCAGGCTTTTTAACATTATAGAAATCAAAAATATACTGAACTGGTTATACACACATTACCCATTCTCTAATGAATAGGACGTGCTTCGGTGGCACAGCGGTAGAATGTTCGCCAACCACGCCTCAGGTGGTTCGGCGTTCGATCCCCAGCCACCGATGCACTCTTTTACCTCAATAAGCCAGTAATAAGACTGGTAAAGAGGGAAAGTTGGGCATGAGGCTAGCGACCCCATCCCGCAAAAATAATTAACACCTCTGCTACCGAAACCTCAAACCTGTAGGCTGAAGCCCAATGTTCCACTGGAAACGTAAAGAAATGAAAAAAATGGCTAGCACATGGACACACACGTACACAAATGCGCATAGGATTTATACACATACCTGTAATCTTGTTTTTATGACATCCGCTGGAGTAGTGAAAAATGCAGCTGGTGCACCAGACATAGTTGCAGCTAATAACAGGGAAGCTGGTGAATTACATCCGTCTTCATCAGAAAAATACTTTTTTAAATTATTATACGCGGTGAAATAGATGCCTGAAAATGGAATATCACGAAGAAAGCAGGCACGTGATCCCTTGTAAAGTCCAAAAAAGCCTAATTCTTTAATAACCTATATATAATATAAAATAGAGAAATAAAAACAATAATATTAATAATAATGAAATTGTATTATATGAAATTAAGCGGAGTACTAGTTAATCTTGTAACGACAGAAGACAAAGGCCAGGCAACAGATCGTTTATTGAGAAAGTCAAGGGGTATTTATAGATTTTTGTGCATTATTATTAGCGAAGAAGCAACCTCTTCTGATTGGCTGTTTTCTTGCTGAAGGTTATTCTGTACTCCTTGTGACCGTTTTTTATCAGGTTAAGCCATATATCTGCGAATCGTATTTGCACACGTTAAGTCTGCTGTGATTGGTTGGTGAGTTCCTCAAGGTTAGACTTTATTATTGTTTTCTTCTCATGACTCTGATTCGAGACGTGAATTGTTGTCTATAATTTTGACTTGCAGACAGCTCTCACCACAACCTCATTAAGAGAAACTTGGGATAATTTCATCTTGTATATTGTCAGTAGACTGATAGACGTCGTTTCTGTCCTAGAATCTAGCAGTAATTTAACACCCGGCGATCGTATTTTACTCATAGGTGAAATCCTGATTTCATACGTGAATTCATAAATTATACAGCTCAACTGTTCAATAAGGGAAACTAGGAGGAGTTTAGGAGTTCGTTAACCTTCTTATGTGCCTTGGGGGTATTCTACCAATGATCCACTAACATTTGTTTCGTCTTAATTCGAGACTCTTCATCAGTACATACTCATGAACCTACTGGAGGTCGAACATACAACCTCCAGAGTAGGACGCAAGCGCGAATTAACCGTTCAATCACTGGGACATTTTCTCACTAAGTGTGACAAATTATTATTTAATTTTAATTTTTTTTTTAAATTTTATTATAGCTTGATTCCACACAGTATTTTGGTAGAAGTATGAAATTTTCAGCATGTGATATAGGTATCCCAAATTTAGCAGGCCGACCATTGATATCAGGGGTGCGTCGGCGGGGGGATCGAACCTCGGACCATGTGCATGTGCCAGAAGACTCTGCATTTTGTCAGCGTTTTCACCTAGAAGAACTTTATTATCTGCATATTCTAAGTCAACAAGGTTATTCCCAAGGGATGTAAACGCATGAGTGACCTTCAGCAGACCAATCATAAAAATAAGTAATTTTTTACAAAAATTGACGTTTATTTACAAGAAAATGCATGAAAAGCCACTAAACAGGGTATCTCCCTCTGATATGACTTAAAAATAGCTCCCACTTATAATGAGGAGTATCAGTTTTTAAGTTAGACCAGTTCCTGCACATATATTCAACCGAAGTGACTTAAGGTGAACTTCTTTTATGACTTGTTTGCCGCTCTCTTGCTGTATTGCAGTCTTCCCCAAAAGCCCTCGGTTGATTTACTATTGTTTCCAGTTAGAGGATCGACGAATACTTACTAGGGAAATGTAGATAATAATACAAATTAAAAGTAACACCAACCCCAGATCTAACCGTAATCGTAATCGTAAAACTAGTCGTAATCATAGAATGTAAATTTTATTTGTACTTGATGTCTAGTCTGTAATGCGACAAGCTTTCATGACAGGTGCAGCCAACACAGTTTTGTGGTTGTAGTTGTAAACATGAATTAATAGATAGTTCTTGTATGCTATAAAAGAAGTGGCAGAAGGTGGAATTGATGACCTGGCCACTGGGATTGGCGGGTACCAGTGGCTCAATGGTCTATGAGCAAGATCGCCTTGTGACCAGTAGGTCCTGGATTCGATCCCTGTCGGTGGGTGTCTGTTGATGAAGAGCCCCAAACTAGGCTGTCCAGTACTCCCTAGCTGGTTTTCCAATGGTTCTCTAAACGATGTCAGCTCATGATGAAATCATGTAACCAAAAGAAGCTTTAACAGAAACTTACCTACTATAAGATATAAATCAATACGTTGGTGAATTCTGTCAATAATCATAAGGGAAGTTGGATACCACTCGCACTATAAACAGTAGTACTTGCCAACAGACCAGATCGAAATGATCTAAACATCAGACGGCTATTTTGCTCGTTTTAGGTCGAGCTCATCACTGGTGTACTCGGTGTGAATCAGTTCAGAGAACCGAATCAGTAGAAATCATGCGAATTTTGATTAACTACTTAAGTGAACTGGTGATGCGTTGAGTCATATTCGCATATTAGCAATTTGAACGGTTCTAAGAGGTGAAATGTCACCCCAGTTTCCTTAGTGAAACCGAAATTACTGAATATCATAGATGATATTCGAGAAACCAAGCAATAAATACATGGCGCTAATGACACAGTAGATGACTTTAGCACTATTTGACTTTCAGTTAATCGTTCCTGGTTCCGAATCCCACACCGTCCACTTCAGTATGGGCAGCAACAAGTGAGTAACGCCAGTGACTCTTACAAAATAATAATTGTCAGTTATAGCCTGGGCGACAAGAAATCTTTTCCGAATAACTGAATTTTATGTAACTGAGATATATACTTGTGACATATGCTACTGACAAGATTCATCAGTAGTATATGAACAGAAATTAATCGGCATACAAAAATATCAAATAGCGGAGAGATAAAGATTTGACGTTAAAGAGAGAAAATGAACCACTACTGGGGCGAAGCATGGCAGATACGAAAAGAAGACAAAGAAACACAATACTCAGGGCAGAAGTAGCAAAACATGAAAGATCCGTGCAAATGACGATTTCAGCACGAGGTAAATGTAATTTCCCCATATGTGTATATCAATCGAATTGCATATAAACATTCCGTTACCAAGTCCTCTTGTCTTCTTCCGTTATATACCAACTAGTTACACTAGTCTTAGTAAAATCTGTGATCCACTACTTGATATACGACTGCGATCGATGAACACAACCTATTTTTTACTCTATAAATAGAGTTTTTTTATTCTCCAAGAATTGATTTGTAGAGGGTTGGATTTGTTTTTCAAGTTTGACTACGGATTGATATCAGTTAGAGAACCATTGAAAACCAGTATTGGAGTACTGGATAGCTGTTTTATCCTAGTTTGGGACTCATAGGCAGTACGCAACCCCCCTCCCAGGTTTCGAACATAGGACCTTCCGGTTACAAGGGTGTGTACTGCCGATGAGTCCCAAACTGGGACGAAACAACTGTCCAGTACTCCAATACTGGTTTTCAATGGTTCTCTAACTGATATCAATCTGTGGTCAAATTTGAAAGAAAAAATTGACTGGCTACATGAAAGAGTTGCCTGGATTTCTAGTGAGAAGTGGTGACCAGTGGGGTCCATCCTGTTGGGAGTGAGGACAAATGCTCACCGATGACATTGGTTGGTGCCAGTCGCTCTAAAATCACAAATTGATAAAAGTTAAAATTCATGCGATGGCCATTGAGTCGGATCCCAGTGGCTGAAAGGTCTAAGAGTTTTGAATGCCTCAATTTTCTGACTTTAGTTTAATTTCTATGACAATACTTCATTTGTATAGTAGATACATATGACTTTTATTATATTTTTGAAGTAATGTGAATGAAACTCATTTTAAGAAGTTGAGATTTTCGAGAGGTCAATTTAACATATATAAGCAAAATTCACTATGAAAAAGAATTAAAATAAAAACTTATACTCTAACGAATTACAATTTATTATTCACATATATTATGTATCATAATAAGAGAGATTAACAGAAGAACATGATCATTAAAATATTTAAGAATATCGAAAAATTATTAACCAAGTGTATTCTTACTACTTTTTTTTCATTCGAGTGGACACATAGAGTCTCAAGCTTTAAAGATTCAGTAGAGAGGCGGGTGGAGCTGTTGTAGGCGATCATCAAAGAAGTTCATTGAATCAATCGAACCTTCAACAATTAATTTGTTTATATGTGCAAAGCGAAACATGGGGTGGCTAGGCAGCTCTAAATTCGCTTTAAATCATCGTCACGTACACATCCATGGACAGGCGTAGGTGTTAAGAAGAGCCTGGTCACCAGGTTAGGTGAACCAGGACAAAGAGTCAGCAGGTAGTGTAGCTATAGCTCAGATTTAGTAAAATAGTTGGCCATACACTAATTGTGAGCGTTATTTCTAGTCGAAACCAACTGGATTATTATTGTTTCCTTTAATTCCTAGAGGAACATAGGGCTTCAGCCGCGCGTCTCCATTGCGTTCGGTTCTCTGCTAGAGTTTTCACCTGGCTCCAAGTCTGCCCACATGCTTTCATCTCCTCTTCGCATGACCTCCTCCAAGTCACCCTCACACTGACGACCAACTCGCCACTTCCCTTTTATGTTCCACTCGAGGGCTTGTCTAGTGATGTCACTTGATGGTTTGTTTTCTCAGAGTATGGCCAATCCATCTCCATTTCTTCCTGCCTATTTGTTTCACAATCGGTTCCTGCTGTGTTGGTTCGCTCCCAGAGATAGATCTCTGTTGCTGATCTTTTCTGGCCAGGCCATCTGATCTTGAGTATTGATTGAAGACAGCTATTAATGAAGGTCTGTAGTTTGTTTGAGATGCTCTTCATGACGCGCCAAGGCTCTGATCCGTATGGTAGCACTGACTGACTTCACATTGGAGTTGAAAATCCGGATCTTATTTTTCATGCGGAAGAGTGCTGTTGATCTCCACACAGACTTGATGTGAGTAGTGAAAGCTTGTCTTGCTTTTCCGATACTCGCTTTGATATCCTCGTCAGTTCCGCCTGTAGTTTAAACGATGTTTCCCAGGTAGGTGAAGGAGGAAGCTTCTTTCAGGTTCCTCCCATTTATGCTGATTGTTGTCTGTTGTTGTTGTTGCTATTGGTGGTGTTGCCCAGGAATCTTCCTCACGTCTGTTTTCTCTATGTTCACCTGAAGTCCTGTCTTCTCTTGATGCTTCTTCTGCCAATTTGTTGCTTTCACTTGCATATCTTCCAGTTTGTGGGAAATCAGACACATATATCCTCGGCGAAGTCCAGATCCTCCATGTTTTTCGTTAAGGTCCATTTTATACCTGTTTCCTCATTCCCCACTGTCTGTCACATTATCCAATCTACTGCAATCAGGAAAATCATTGGCGATAGTAAGCAGCCAGCTAGCTTGTCTTACTCCCGTCTTCACTTCGAAGGATTCCATAAGTTTTCCGTTGTGGATTACTTGGCATGCAGGAAACCAACTGGAAGACAACTCGAAGTCGTTTAGCCAGCTTGATTATTTGGTTTCCTAGAATGTTACCTTTACGGGGTAGGGTTGCTAACCTCACACACCCAACTTTCCGTTGTTTCTCCGGGCTAACTGCCAGCTACTAGGCGGAAATCGAACCAAAACTTCTAGGTATGAAATAACTCCAAAAGGCAGAGGCCATTGCAATTCGTTTCAATCAACCTGAGCACTGCAGACAACGCAAAAGAAACAGGTTTAGCCATTATTGCTACCATGACCTTCTGTAGAATCTATAAACCAATAAATTTGGTATTACTTTACTTCGTAATTTATTTGGTATTTGGTCTAGTTTTATATAGTGATGTATATTATCACTCGCAGACACTTTTGAACTGCAAAGGATTCATTGTAGGATTTCATCAGGAGCTGATGTCAGTTAGAGAACCATTGGAGAACCAGCTAGGGAGTACTGGACAGCTGTTTCGTCAGCCTGGCTTTGGGACTCTTCATCAGCACCCACCCACCCACCTCCAGGGTTAGGACCTAGGACCTTCTGGTTACAAGGCGAGCTCGTAATGGATTCAATGTTAGTGATTTAAAACAGCATCAATGTTGTTATTAACAATAATTCTTTAATTATTATGAACACGTAGCCGTAGAACCTGATGAAAAAGAAGTTATCGCAAAATAAAAATATTCTTTTCTTAAAAACACAAAATAACAATAATAATCTTACTGAAAAAGCTGATATACGCTTTGTACTAGCAATTTCTCCAGCAACTTGAAGTCTTATCTTAACAATTTCCAACGGGTTGGTAAATATCACTTGACTGCCGCCAGCACAACCTCCAGCTAGAATTTCTGCATATATTGAAATATCACCATTCGGTTTAGTGAATTGATCACGAACTATATCGTTGACAGTTAGTTTGATGGCTTTTTCAGGAGCAACACCTAGTAGTTGTGGTCCTAGACCTCGATACAGACCAATGAAACCTTCGTATCTGCAAATATAAATATAAGATAAAAGCAACTGGAGTAAAAAAGCGACATGGTTCAAGGGTTTAAGAGGTGCCTCCATTTTCAACCAATTAGTTCAGTCCGGGAATTCTTGATATCATAATACATAAGCATTTTTTGGGTTGACTAGTCATATCAGATATGTGATGTTCCTGACAAACGACACTGCTATTTCTGTATGCAATTTTTCGGAGGGAATTTGTCGATTATTTCACTTTACTGATGTCATGGTTACATAGACATCTCACCACGGTTGACGTATACACATTCTCAAGAGTTAGGGATTTGATGATTTGTTACAAGTTCGATCACGAGATGACGTCAGTCAGAGAGAGAGAACCATTGGGAAATTAAATACCTAGGCGTCATTCTATCTGCTGATCTCTCCTGGTCGTCTCATATCCTAGCAAATTCTAAGAAAATATTCCGTCTTACCTTCTACATCAAGAAGTTAAAACATTCTGGTATAACCCAACCCTTACTCCTACAATTCGTTAACTCTTGCATCCTGCCTATTATTCTCTATTGTTCCCCCTTAGTTTTTCCCGGGCTACTGAAGAAAGACTATCCTTCATTACGCAGGATGTTAAAGGTAATCAGCAGGGTAAGCAACGTGTCACCTAACCAGCTTGTTAATATTCTGGTTGACAGGCACATGGACTCATGTGAAAAATGGGCCAAATCCATTTTATCTAATTCACACCACCCTCTTCACTCACAAGTCTCCCCTTGCATCTCATCAGGTAAAGCCAGAAGCCTATATAGAAAACTATATGCTCGCACCAGCAAGTACAAAAACTCAACCATACCCTACTTGGCTCGTGTTCTGTGTGATAAAGAAAGCAATAGGCGTGATACCTATAATTCATTATATAGTCAGTAGTACAACTGGATCTCGTCTTTCCAACTCACATCATCAATAGGTACAACATTTTCTTTCTTTCTTTTCCTTTTCTCTCTCTTCTTTTTCCGTTATGTGCTGCTGTTTCTTTCTCTCTCTTATGCCAGTAAATATGACAGCTCCCACTTTTCTAACACCTTCAAACATTGTTTCAGCTTCACCTTTGCTACCGATATGCCAATGTGTTGTTGTAATAATGAACTGTGATTTCCTTAATCTATGTAGAATTCTATTTATTGATAATGTACTAACTGGATGCAATACTGTAGTAAAAATGCTGAGAATTCCATTCTGTATCACATGTACTGTTTTGGAATAAAGCAAATTATTATTATTATTGGGAAGTGAGGGAGTACTGGATAACTGTATTGCTCTACTTTCAGACTCTTTGGCAGAACGCACACACCACAGTTCGAATCCGCGACCTTGCAGTTACGATGATGATTAATACGAATGCGTATTTGCTGTGTAGCTATAGCATGGAAGTAATTACTTAAGTAGGCTTTAATACAGTTCAAGTAACAGTGGCGAAGATTTTCTGTACTTAGTTCAATTTGGATTATCCCATCGATTGATTGGTTGGACCAAAGTGCTCGGCCTCTGTTGATATGTCGGTTCCTTGTCCGGATGCTTCAACAATATCCGAGAAATTAACCTGAAGTCATTTGGTGGATGGCGACTAGCAGTGGAATTCAGGATAACACATATTTCGTCCTACTTGGGACTCGTCACTGGATGTACCTGCATTCTCCAGTGAGCGGCGGTGTTCCGAACGAGGCTCAAACCCAGTGCCCATAGTTCCAAACGCTATCCAGTAGACCACTTGAGCCACAAAAGCTACATACTGTGCAATGGGTCTTATTATTTATTTAATTCAATTTAGACCGACAACTTCGGTCCAGTTACCTCGTGAAACTACCAAAGAAGGGCGACTTAGGACTCTGCAAGAACTGGCGAGGAATCATGCTCCTGTCGACGCCAAGAAGAATCTTGAGTCGCATCATCCTGTAGAGAATGAAGGACGCACTAGATACAGAACTCCAACCAGAACAAGCTGGATTCAGTAAAGGCAAATCATGTTCTGACCAAATTGCAACTCTACGCATCATCATCGAACAAAGCATGGAATGGCAATCAAACCTCTACCTCAACTTCATAGACTTTGAGAAGGCCTTCGACAGCGTTGACCGCGAAGTAATTTGGAAACTACTCAAGTACTACGGCGTACCCAAAATATTCATCAACCTTAATCAACAGCTGTACGACAACGGCACACGTCAAGTGATCCACAACGGAAAACTCAGCGAGGCGTTTGGAGTAAACACAGGAGTCAGACAAGGGTGCTTATTATCACCAGTGATATTCCTAATTGTGGTGGACTGGATTATGCATCAGACAGTGGGAACCGAGAAGACAGGGATATCCTGGACCGACGTGAAGAACCTAGAAGACCTGGATTTCGCGCGTCGATGATTTATGTTTGATGTCACGCAAAATCGAAGACATACAAGCGGAAACCAACAAACTGGTCGAAGAAGCAGCCGGTGAAGACAGGACTCCAGGTGAACATAGATAGGACAGAGGTTATCAAAATAACCAACCAACAACAACAGCAGTAGCAACATCCAGCGCCAATCACCATCAACGGGAGGGATTTGAAAGAGGTTACTTCATTCACTTATCTAGGGAGCGAGCATTGTCTCAACTACAGGAGGAACGGACGAGGATGTCAAATCGAGAGTCGAGAATCGGGAAGGCGAGAAACACATTCATCAACCTGAAACCAATCTGGAAATCTTCGTCACCCAGCATCCACCAAAACGAAATTCGGATTTTCAATACAAACGTCAAGTCAGTCAGTTCTTCTTTACGGATGGATCACAAACTTGGCGGGTCACCAAGAATATTTCCAACAGCCTGTTGCAGACCTTTATCAACAGCTGTCTTCGTTCTATACTGAAGATCAGATGGCCGGAAAGAATCACCAACAAGAAACAATGGGAGGAAACAAAACAAGAACCATTCGCCCAACAAATATGCAGGAGAAAGTGGAGATGGATTGGACACTCGCTGAGGTGGCCGCTGGGTGACATCGAGCGTCAGGCCCTCGAGTGGAAGCCGAAAGGGAAGCGGCGAGTGGGACGTCCAAAGGTGACATGGAGGAGATCGTGTGAAGAGGAGTTGAAACAGTATGGATTAACATGGATGCAGGTGAAAAGTACAGCAGAAGACAGAAGCAAGTGGTGACGTGTAGTTGAAGACGTATGTTCCACTAGGAACCCAAGGGAACAATAAAAATAATAGCTTCGGTCCAGTTGATCGACGATAAAATCTCAAATTGAATTAAATAATTAATGAGACCCGTTGCACAAGAGGTGGCTGTCGTAACCCCAGTGGCCTGGTGGATAAAGCTTTGGTGTTTGAAACTATGGGCACTGGGTTCGAGCCTCAGTGGGAACACCATTACCCATTGGGGGATACAGGTACACCCAATGGACGAGTAGTCCAAAACAGGACGAAATGCATGTTATCCTGGATTCCACTGCTAGTCACCATCCTCCACTAATAGTGAATAACACTAAGTCTAGACGGTTGAGCAGTGTCATTGTCAAATAGAATTTTTTGCGCTTATTAACTTTTACACAATTTTCATCCCCTTTGGTTGACTGTTGACCTCGGTAAGTAGTCGCCCAACAACAATTTTTTTCTCACTATACTGATTGACTAAGTGTCATTATGGAACTTTGAGCAAAAGTATAGCAGTTCGAGTTGCCACACTTCATATAATAAATACAATAAGGAAAAAATAAAATTTCAAAGAAGCTATAAGGAGCAGAAATGTACGTGGAAAGGAATAATTACACGAAAAAAAACATGAGCATTTAGTGAATCTGCGAGATTATAAAGAGTAGAATGCATATGCACCATTGGGGACGATTTCGTTTCGTGATATCAACAGTCTCCAGCCATACGATCTTAGTGTGTCAAGCACTCAACAGACAGGTAGTCTACACCTCCGTACTTGACTCAAAAACAGATAGTCGAAGACTTCAGGCACAGACTCCATGTTTTGTTCTGACCACTACTACTGTGGTGAGAGCTGGCTGCTAGTCAAAATTGGTAGACAGTAATTTACATCAACGTTTACGTCCCCAATATTGGTCGTTAGAAAAATAAGAACAAAGACTGACTCAACAACTAATCACAGCCGCCTTTGCGTAGGCGGATACAATTTTTTTTATTCCTTCACGTTCCCAGTGGAACATAGGGCTTCAAGCTAGAGGCTTGAAGTTTCTTTAGCCGTGTTTATTTTTACAGGATGAGGTTGCTAGCCTCATGCCCAACCTTTCCTCTTTACCAGCTTTATTTTTGGCTTAGCGAGGTAAAGGAGTGCGTCGGTGGCCGGGGATCGAACCTCGGACCATATGCACGGTCGGCGAGCATCCTAACCACTCTGCCACCGACGCGGATACAATTTGCAGACGGATAATCTGAACTTCAAGAAAAGGTAACAAAGAGATGAAAGGTTAACGTTCAACGAGAAACCACAAATCAGAAGATTGTGTTTGTTTGCTTACAATAATCTATAATAATATAGATGAAAATCTATAAATATCTGTTGATTTCCTAAATAAACGATCTGTTGCCTGGCCCTTGTCTTCTGTTGTTACACTACTACTAACTCTTTTCCAAGCAAATCCAATATCAGATAACAATTGCTCGAGAAGAAAAGTCATGGCTTCGCATAGGTGACAGATGCGGTTTCACAGCCTCATCGATTGACTTGTCTCCATCCCCCCCCCCTCATATCTAATCTCAATATTTCTCATCATATTAAACCATTCATTTCAGGAGATAGAATGCAAACATCTACTGTCAAAGACAGCTGGTCTCTTCAAGTTTACCACTTTTAATGGCCACATTTTCTCACAGTCATAAGGAAAGATAAAGAAAACTTCTGCTTGATAAACACGTTCTTTCCACGATCCCAATCCATTAATATTCCTTTCACGCTCATGTGGTGCTTTGTTTCAAACTTTAAACAGTCTCTGTACCTACAGTTCCTGAACATTCAAAAATTCCACGATCACCATAAAACTCTACGAGTACGCATTGTCACAATACCTCACTCCTATTCAGAGATAAAAACACGAAATACTGTAATACTGATGAGGACAGAACTCTATGCATCCACATCGAACAAGGCATCGAATGGCAATCAAACCTCTCTCTACCTTCATCGACTTCGAAAAGGCTTTTGGCAGTGTTGGCTGAGAAGTAATTTGGAAACTGCTTCAGCACTACGGCGTGCAGCTGGCTATATGACAATGTCACGTGTCAGGTGATCCACAACGGAAAACTCAGTGAGACGTTCGAACTGAATACAGAAGTGACACAGGGCTGCCTGCCTACTATCACCGATGATATTCCCGATTGTGGTGAACTGGATTATGTGTCAGATTGTGCACAGGGAGTAATAAGACAGGAATACGTTGGACCACCGATAAGAAGACTCTAGAAGATCTCGATTTCGCACATGATTCACTTCTACGATCATACAAACTCGAAGACTTACAGGCGAAAACTAACAAAAGGGCTGAAGAGGCTAGCAGGTAGCGAAGACAGAACTCCAGGTTAACATAGAGAAGACACAGGTGATAAAGATAACCAACCACAACCGACAGCAACAACAAGCAGCACCAATCACCATCAACAGGAGACATTTAACAGCGGTTACTATACTTCCTTCACTTATCCGGCTAGGAAGCATGCTTTTAACCACAGGCCAGCGGACAGCACGGATGAAGATATCAGAGCCAGGCAGCCAGAATAGAAAAGATAGGCAATATACGCCTTCATCAACCTGAAACCAGTTTGGAAATCTTCTGCACTGCACTCAGTCAGCATAAACAACAAGATTCGGATTTTCAGCACAAAAGTGAAGTCAGTCAGTCAGTTAATTCTTCTTTACGGGTCAGAGACTTGCACTGCGTGTGAGTCACGAAAAGCATTTCCAACAGGCCACTGCAGACTTTTATCAACGGCTGCCCCCTTCACTGATTCTATTTTGAAGATCAAGATCAAAAGACCAGCCAACAGGAATCAGTAACAAGAAACTCTAGGAACAAACCAGTCAAAAACCTATTTTTCAATCGTTACGCCGAATATAAAATGGAGGTAGATCAGATACATGCTGAGAAGGCCATTGAGTACTATCAAACCTCAGGTCGTCCAGTTGAACCTGAGTGGGAAACGACGAGTTTCGCATGGTTGCGAGAGTGACATAGAGAAGATCGTGTGACAAGGCGATGAGAAAGCTTATAGGCAATGGTGGAACCATCTAAAGAGGGCTTCAGAGAACAGGACAAAATGGAGATGTGCTGTTGAAGACCTGTGTTCCACTAGGAAACAAAATGAACAATAATAATAATGATAATCGTAATAAAGGCTATATGAATTTGATAAATGCATACCGTATAACTTTTCGAAAACAATCCCAACTATTTTTATACATAAGTTCACCGATTGTTGATGCAGTACGTTGATTTTGCATTCTTGTTTTCACTAAATCAATAGGATAAACAGCAGTAGCTCCAAATGCTCCAGCAATAGATCCTAGAGTAAATCGATAGCATTGTTCAAGGACAGACAGTAATGCACTTCTTTCATGCACAGTATTTGTTGTACTTATATGTACATCCTAAATTATATAAAATGGCAAACAAATAAAACGAAAAGTTGTTGATTTTTAAAACAACGACATTTATTGAGGAAATATGATCTGGTGAGAATTAAAAAATTAGTTGGAGGATTTCATCATGAGTTGACATCCGTTATAGAACCATTGGAAAGCGAACTAGAGAGTACTACCTAATTGTATCGTCCTAGTTCGGGACTCTTCGTCAGTATGCGTCAACCGACAGGGTTTGAACCTAGTCATACTGAATATGGAATGCGAACACACGAGTGACCTTGAGCCAACCAATCAGAGAAACCAGTAGTTTTTACATCCAAAAAAATAGAGTTGATTTACAAAATAAATACATGAAAACACATTAAACAGGATATTTTCCCCTAACATGACTTGAAAACATCTCCCAATTATAGCGAGGAGTCTCAGTTTCTAAGTTGAATTAGTTCTTATTCATATATTCATCAATATGATTGAAAATGAGTCCCTTTTGTAACCCGTTGACTGCTCTCATCCGATTTTCCAATCTACTCCAGAAACCCTCGATTGAATTGATATGGGTTCCAGTAAGGGAGTCAACGAGATCGTCAGAATGCTCCACGCGATAATGGATAAATCCCAAATCTGATCGGCCATTGCATCCACCCATTCTCCAAGAATGGCAAATCTTTGTATAATTGGTTGAAGAATGTCTGTACTACGACTTGGAATTACCTCCACATTTCACTTCTGAAGTTTCGTGTCGTAAATTCCCAATACCCAAACGTTATTTGTCGTAAGGCGACCACTGAAAACTGTTTCATTGATGTGAACAATAACACTAACTCGGCCTAACAGCTGCGTGACACTATTCCTCTTCCAGGATGCTCCTATATCTCTGCAATGTTGGAACCATTTCACAGGAGATACTAAGGAATTTGCCATCTCTGCAACCGCTGATCTCACACTCCAGTCTTTATTATCCAATAATGGCAGGTAAGAAGTATACTTCTGATTGGACACTAACTAGTGTCATGTGTCTAGTCGTTTTGTTTACTGTAGATTGAATTCTATCAGTCAAGTTTGCAATGTGGCCACAATGCCACTACTAGGTGGCTCGCCATCACGGTACACTCAGGATTGTTTTTATTAGATGGTTGGAGGTGATCGGCAGGAAGCCTCACCTCGCAAAGGTTTCGTGCTTGTTGCCACTCCCCAGTCAGCAAGGCGTATCTGCAATCTTCAAGGAACTCCTATCCCTTCTGAGATTCGAACCCGTGTCACCCAGTGCAGTCAAAGGCGTTACCATTGAGCTATCCAGGCTCGCAATTGACCTCCTGTAGGACCATATTAGATACTTTTGATTGCCTATTGTCTCCAATCATCTAGTGTATAAGAAGTATATTGATCAGCGGTAATTTCGACTAAGAGAAGAAAGCTTATAGAAAACATTGATGAACTGAGTGTGTAATCTACCATCATTACGACGAACACTGAATCTCGTTTCCTAAACTGTGTACTACCTAAAATACATGTCCATCACCTGCTTCTGAACACCAGTGGATGTACATAAAAGCACCACAAGTGCATAGACGGCTACCGTGCTATCACCCCATTGTCTGAACACTACTTAAAAACGTGACAGCGGAGTGAAATTTGCACGTTAATTTGTAAATAGCGCTTATATTGACACTATAATAATGGCAGATCCCATTCGTTACCCACGAACGACTAGTATGCGCTCAAGATCATTGGTGCATTTGCACTAACTGGATCGTGATACTTTAACTTGGCAGAAAAAAGGATTGGGGAGAATCCCCAAGGATGTTGTTAAACTATAGACAATAATTGAAACATTAAACATAAAAAAATTTACGGATATGACAACATATATATAACTGTCAAATAAACACACCTGAAGTCTTGACTTCATATAATGTAAAGTGGAATTATCCTCGATAGGCGTTAGCGTACATAAATCATGATAATTAATGCGTCTAAAAATAAACAAACAAACAAAAAGAAGGAAAGAAAGAAATGGAATAACATTTATGAAGATGAACACTAAAAAAGTTTCACTCTGTACTTTCATCTAATTGGTGAAATGTTCTCGAACTTTTGACAGCTTGCAGACTTTTATCAAAAGCTGCCACCTTAGCTGGCTGGCTCCATACTGAAGATCAAATGGCCGATCAACCAGAAAGAATTAGCGACAAGAAACTCTGGCCTGGAACAAACCAACCAAGAACCGATCACTTAACAAATATGTGGGAGAAAAGTGGAGATGGACTGGGCACACACTGAGGAGGCCATCGAATGACGTCGCGCGCCAGGCTAGCACTCAAGTGAGACCCGAATGGGAAACGACGAGTGGGGTGTCCGAGAGTGACACAGAGGAGACCGTGTAAGGAGGAAATGAGAGATTATGAGCAATCATGGGGTCAGCTAAAGTGAGCCACAGAAAAAAGCACAGAATAGCGATGTGCTGTTGAAGCCCTATACTGCAGTTGCGACCCAAGGGGACGAGTAGTAAATAAAACTCAAACTTTGAAATAAATGGTTTTAAGTACTCTACTCAGTAGGCGATTACACAAAGTCTGTCTGTCTGTTTTCGACATAGAACTTTGCACATATGTGCCGAAGTTCAAGTCGCCACACTCCCTCCTTGTAGCACACAAAGCAAGAGAAGAAAGTAGAAGAAATGCATAATAGAGACAGTAGACAGGGATAAGAGTCAAAAGGAATAGTAATAACGAAGAACAATATAGTTTCATTGGGTATTTTAGGTCACAAGGAGTGGATGCATCTGGGCCAGCCATTGAGAACGGGGATTTTGAGCCATATCACCAACTGTTTCCAACCATTGGTTTTCACTGTCCCGGGGACACGAACCAGGAAGTTTACACCTTCCTACGTGGCTTAGACTAACTGTTGTGGATTTCATTGACTAGTGAAGCGATGTTTTGGTTTGACCGCCGCTAGCTCTTTTCCAGCCTGACCCTATATCAGCTAACATTGCCTTTTGTAGAGGAAGGCGATGACTAGGCATACGTAACACATGTCCTAACCATCTCAGTCGATGTAATTTCACAGCCTCGTCTATTGATTTCCCCTCTTTACCTAGCACTCAACCTATGCCTAACCTCAATATTGCTCACCTTATTACACCTATCACTTCACACGGGAGGCAGAACGCAGACACCTATGATCAAAGACAGTTAATCTTTTCATGTCTTCCACTCTCAATGGCCAGGTCTCACAGCCATAAAGGAGGACGGAGCGGACTGATGAGCAGTACACACGTCCTTTGGTCGATAGCTAGCCGGATATCACGTCTACTCCAGAGACGGCGTAAACTGGCATATGCGAAACACAAAGCCTAAAGATAGAGCTGATAACTACGTCACATGTTAAAAGATTCTGATCAGTACTGCATTTTTCAGAGCCCCTTTGTTGGCTATATAATGAGATGCAAACAATCGAGAGATTTCAACCAACACACACATTAGCACCAGTCAGTAAGCATCGAGTAGAACTCTGCAAGGCAATGAATCGACAAAGAATCTATTGAGCAACAAATATGCGGAAGGAAACGAAAGAGATGGGTCGGACGTACATCGAGAAGGCCATTGAGTGACATGACACACACCAGACACTCGAGTGAAGCGCAAATGTGAAGCGATGAGTTGGGCGTCCGAGACTAACATGGAGGAGATTATGTGAGGAGGGACTGAAAGCTGCTGCTGAAATTATATGCTCCAAAATACATAACTCAGTCAAAAAAGAGGTGTACTGAGGTCTTAATAGCGAATTAGTAAAGTCTCTAACTTCAACTATGAGTGATGCATATTAGGAAAGCGTGGAAAACTTTACTTTTACCAGTATGGAAGATATACCTTGTTGATGAGTAACACAAAGAGCAAGGAGTTTAGATCAAGAAATGGCTTACTGCCAACGAACTCCTGTCTGCATCTAGCATGAAGGAATTCACTGACAGTTCAGATTAAAGGCAATGAGAGTAGGCCTATGCTAACGAACTATGCACATCCACAGAGTGCGGTTTAGGCATCCGTGTATTTCTGGTATTTTCTCAGCAGATGTTACAATTATGAATAGAATTAAATAAACACATATATCCGACTAGATGATCGTTAAATGCTTGGATTAAGTAGTGCATTGTTTATTTCTACATACTCATATATATATATATATATATATATATATATATATAAACTACCATGCTGCTATACAATTAGTTATCCAATGAGGCATACATCTCCACTCTATAGTTATAGTCATCAATAGAATTCGAGTTGAAGTATACAAATCAGAAGATTGTAATAACCACCAGCTGGTTGGAGACAATCGACCAGAATTCATGAACCTGGGCCATGTTGTTTGCTGATCACTCATCAGCAAAGGAATATCTGCGACCTACAAGGAACTCATGCCCCCCATTTGGGACTAGAACCTACTTCGCCCAGATCTGCAGTCAGAGGCGTTTCCATTGAACTATTCGGATCCGCCATTAACCTATTGTAGGAGTGTAATGATTGTATTGGTTGAAAACTGATGGGTAACCAGTGTCACGAGTCCAGTCCTTAGTGGTGCAATATGGCCATCAATCTAGGGGCTGCCACAGTGGTGCATTTTTAAAATTAGTGTTAAACTAGTTCGGGGCAGTCAGCAGGAAGCTTTCAACCTAGGTTTTGCGCTTACTGGCAAACATCGAAACGGTAACCATGAAGATACTGATGTCCTCATTGAATAAGTATGCGTAACGCACGTTTCAGGAGCCTACGGTAATGGAAGTTTATAATGACCAATAATGATATCATTAATTTATTATTCCCTTAAGTTCCGAGTGGAAAATAGGGCTTCAACAACACATCTCCACTTTCTATTCTCTGTTGTCTTCTTCAGTCGGGTCCCCGATTGATCATTAACTATCATCTCCTCCTTCCCACACGATCCCCTCCATATCATCCTAGCACTAACGACCCACTCGTTAATTCCCATTGGGATTCCACTAGAGCGATGGCCTGCATTGTGCACGATGTCATTCGATGGGATCCTTAACCTATGCTCAGTCCATCTCCATTTTCTCCTACATATTTGTTGTTGAGCAATCTGCTCTTGGTTGGTTTGTCCCCAGCCGGAGTGTCTTCTTGGCAGCTCTTTCTGCCAATTTGATCTTCAATATGGCTCCAGCGAAGCGAGCAGCTGTTGATGAAAGTTTTCAGTAGCTTCTTGGAAATCCTTTCCTTGACTGAGACGCAGTACAAGTTTCTGACCCATATAGAAAAACTAACTGACTTAAAATTGGCGTTGAAAATCCGAGTCTTGTTCTTTATGCTGGCTGACTGAATGCAGTGCAGAAGATCCCCAAACTGGTTTCAGGTTGGTGAAGGTGTATCTTGCTTGTCTTTCCGGTTTTGGCTGGCTGGCTGATTTGAAATCTTCATCCGTGCTGTCCGCCGGCCTGTGGTTAAAACCTTGCTTCTTAGGCGGATAAGTGAAGGAAGTGAAGTAACTTCTGTGCTGGTTGTTGCTGCTGTTGGTGGTGGTTGGTTATCTTCATCACTTCCGTCTTCTCTATATTCACCTGCAGTCCTGTTTGATACCTGTTTCTTCAGCCGGTTTGTTGGTTTTCGCCTACGAGTCTTCAAGTTTGTGTGACACTAAACATAAATCATCCACGCGTGAAATCCAGATCTTCTGGAGTCTTCTTATCGGTGGTCCAAAGTATTCCTGTCTTCTCACTCCCAACTCACAGGCTGGAGTATAATCCAGTCCATCATTGGTGATAATAGATAGCCAGCCTTGTCTTACTCCTGTATGCACTTCGAACGTCTCGGTGAGTTTTCCGTTGTGGATCACCATCTCTCGTGGCAGGCATTGTCATATATACCATAATGATATGGTGATGAATAATTCGCTATTGGTACTTTAAAGTCCAACGAAAAATTTACTCCAAAAGAATACAAAAGTACATATATTTGTTAAAAAGTGGATTTTCATGTCATTGCATATATATATATATATATATATATGGGGAGAGAGGGAGAAAATGATCACTTCCGTTAACTGTATGTGGTCGATAAAACTGAAATGTCAATAGCAGTCTTACACAGGCAACTATTTGAATTTATTTATAACTTACCCATCTTGTCGAAGAAGGGATGACAGTTGAAATAAAATGCTTAACTCCATAGGGGTAATTTGTGAAAAATGTTGAGCTTCATTCAGCATTTCCTCTATATTATAAAATAAAAAAGAAGATAGTATAGAATAAAGTAGGATATCGGAGTTTTTCCAATACGTTTTGTTTGAAAACAAATAAACTACTGGTACAACAGTTTAGATATTCAACTTAGTTAGGTCAAGCAAACAGATCAGACTAGTAGATCGGGGTTGAACTCATGTCCCTTCTGAGATTTGAACCCACATCACGTAGTGCTGCAGTCAGAGGCGTTACCACTGAGCCGGTTCGTATCTCAGAAGGGACATGAGTTCATTCAAGGTTGAAGATACACACCTTACTGACTAGTGAGTGCCTCCAAAAGCCTCAGGATGGTCGGGGGTGGGTGCCTTGCGCTGCGGGTTGGCCACCCCTCCTCACACCTCTTGAAATGCTCCCATATGACCGGGCGTCTTACATAGCCTCTCCTGAGGAAGTCCTACTCACTGCCTTCACGTGGCGGAGGTGTTTTTCACCAAAGTGAGAGGGCGAAAGCGGATGCCCGGCGCTCTTCACCGGGTTGACTGTCCATTGGATGACAGTCTAGGGGAGATGGCTAAACCCTGATTCCAAACCTCCAACGACTGGCGTATGAAGCTCACTGGAGCTCACCGGCAGACGTATGGACAAAGGGCTTGTTGGATGTCCTGGATGTCTGGCCCCATTCAAAAAGGCGTATGAACCGAACTCCGGTCACCGGCTGCCAATGGATATTGGACTCCCTACTCCACTTCTACTGCCTTGTAGATCACACTTGGTTGTGTAAAGGCTAGAGCTGCACTCTCAAACAAAAGGCCGAGCGATTCTGGGGACATCACTTGTACCGAATTCCCATGAAACTTCATGAACTCTCTTACAAACGACTCTATCACCGCGCCTGGGTAGCGATGATTCGAGATGTTCATGAAGCCGGCTCATCCTCCCGTAGGAGATAGCCGAAGTAAAGTAAGTAGATCGGGGTCATTGAAGTTAACAGAGCATAGAAATTCAGCGAAGTGCAGAATTGTTAACTCCAGGATAATCAATAACTTAGTGTCGGTGACACAGCTGTAGAATGCTCGACAACCACGCCTGAGGTGGTTCGGAGTTCAATCCCAGGCCACCAACGCACTTCTTTACCTCTCTAAGCCAGTAGAGTAATAAGACTGGTAAAGAGGGAAGATTGGGCATGAGGCTAGCAACCCCATCCCGTAAAAATAAATACCACTGCTACCGAAACTTCAAAGCTCCACTGGGAACGTCATGGAATAAAATATAAAATAAATTTTAAAAAATCGATAACTTAGAGAACAACTCAGCAATCACAAGACAAACACTAAACACACACAGTAAGGACGGATAGAGCTACAGTTTTAAAAATTGATATAATATGCAAATTAAGGGAGATTTTGATCTCACTGAATCTTTGTCTATCGAGCCTACATCTAACATGTTCAATAAGAATGACGCAATACCCAATACCACAGATATTGAAAATATTGACGCCAATAAAATCAAAGCATATGAAATAAAAGATTTGTATAAATGAAGTTTAGAAGTCATGTGAATGCCTTGTTGAGCTTATGAGCAATAAATTATGCTCGAAATGTAGTCAGTAAACAAACAACACTGCATCACTGTATTAGTTACATCAAGTGATAGAATTATACTCTACCACAATGCTCAAGTTCTATTCTTATTTCCATTAGAATCATAAGGATGTTTCCATTTGACACTAGTTAGTAACTAGTGTATTGTATCTAGTCCTTTCTTTAGTGCAGAGTGAATTCCAGTCGCCAGGTGTACAATGTGGCCACCATGCTAAAGGGTGCCTCGCTATCAAGCTGCACTGTGAATTGTTAGTATTAAATGACTAAGGGCAATCGACAGGAAGCCTTGAACCAAGGTTTCAAACTAGTGGGCTAGTGAGATACGAACCCACTTCACGTAGTGTTGTAGTCAGAGACGTTACCACTGAACCGGTTCGAATCTCAGAAGGGACATGAGTTCCTTCAAGGTTGAAATCCTGATGGAGTGCCCACTAGCACGAGACCTAGGGTTAACCAAGGCTTCCTGCTGATTGCCTCTAAACATCTAATATAGTAAGGGTTTGTATGTAATCGAATTACTGCCTTCTTCACGCCGTCACAGCTGAGTTTTAGGTAACCGTGAAATACCGCAACGACGTGTTAACCTCTCACACGCTAAGTTTTTTTAAAAATTTATTTTATTCCTTTACAATCCAAGTGGAACATAGTGCTTTAAGCTTCAGCTTTGAAGTTTCGGTAGCAGTGGTTTTTGCTTTCACGGGATGAACCTACTTGTCAACCGCCCAATCTTCCCTCTTTACTGGGCTTACTGCCAGTTAATCGAGGTTTAGCAGTTAGTCCACAGAGGGATCGAACCCCAGACCACGTGAGGCGCGGTTAGCGAGGGTTCAACAGTTGAAAGGTGTGTTATATACTACTAATTGACATTAATCAGTAGCTATATTGGAATGATCTAAATACCAAACAAATGTTTCGATCATCTGAGGTCGAGCTCACCAGCTATGAACTTCGTTTGACTTGGCAGCTCAGAGTGCCGAATCGGTTCGAATCATTCGCGAATCAAGCTCGTGATCTGCAATTTACATAGTTCAAAGTGAAATTTCACTGTCCCTCCAGTGCCTAGATAGATCACACTTCGACCTGGTTAGCAAGCACTACTGATTAATTTCAGTAATAGTAGTATATAACTACTCGTCCTGGTTAATCAGTAGTGTATAGTTTTGTGCATATATGCTGACTTTCTTGATTACCATCATTTATGGGATCAAGCAGATCGCCTCCTCTAGAACTGTGTAAATTATAAATTGCGAACTTAATTTACAACCCAAATTTGTTCAACTGAGTGTAATACCCGAGTTGAGAAAAGAAACGATAAGAGAAATAACAACTCTCACACATATAGGACAAACCTTTTGTTAATTCTGTTTTAGCATTTCCATGTGTTCGACTTAAATACACTTTTTTAACCAATTCCATATTCGATAATAATGTGATAAAAGCCATATAATAGGCAAACGTAATTCGACCATCTGTTTCCCCGTGTAAAGCTACCTAAGAGGCAGAAATAAGAATAAAAAAGCGTAAAAACAATGTTATGCAATATACTTTCAGATTTAACAAAATCCCACTGGTAATGAAATTTATTTTTTAAAAAGAAACTCCAAAGTTTAGTTCGACAAACTGAGGTAGTGGTAGTTCAATGGCAGAATGTTCGCCAAAAACATCCAGGTGGTCAGGGGTTCTATTCCTGACAGACGAACAGCTAATCCAAATGAACTGTCGTCAAGATTTGACTGAATAGTTCTTAAATATTTGGGCGCCGAGTGAGAAGTAGACATTTGTAAAAATTACATCTGTAAAATCTCAGCGAGACTGAAATGAGTAATTCCAAGTTCAGAAAGAAGACAGAGCAATAAGTTCGACAGGGTGCTTCAACTAACTTCTAATACCTAAACACCATAATTTTGAAAATACGTCTAGTCATACAAAATTCTAGATACTCACAGTTTGAACAAACATGAAGGTGTGATGTTAGCTGATGTATAGGAAATCCTTATTAATAAATAAAAATGGATATGTATCACTAATTAATAATACTTGATCAAAGTTTCCTACTGTCTATATCTTTTTATGGAGACGTTTGTTTATTATACTGGACTTCGCCAATGATATATGTCTAATTTCCCACAAACTGGAAGATATGCAAGCGAAAAGCAACAATTTGGCAGAAGAAGCATCCAGAGAAGATAGGACTTCAGGTGAACATAGAGAAAACAAAGGTGATGACGATTCCTGGGCAACAGCAACAGACAACAATCAGCATAAATGGGAGGGACCTGAAAGAAACAACCTCCTCCTTTACCTACCTGCCTACCTGGGAAGCATCGTTTCAACTACAGGCGGAACTGACGAGGATGTCAAAGCGAGGATCGGGAAAGCAAGACAAGCTTTCACTACTCTCAAGTCTGTGTGGAGGTCAACAGCACTCAGCATCAAAAATAACATCCGGATTTTCAACTCCAATGTGAAGTCAGTGCTACTCACTATACTGGTCAGAGACTTGGTGCGTCATAAAGAGCATCTCAAACAAACTACACACCTTCATTAACAGTTGTCTTCGCTCAATACTCAAGATCAGATGGCCAGAAAAGATCAGCAATAGAGATCTCTGGCAATGAGCGAACCAACACAGCAGGAACCGATTGTGAAACAAATAGGCAACAAGAAATGGAGATGGATTGGCCACCATACTCTGAGGAAACCATGAAGTGACACCACTAGACAGGTCATTGCTCGAGTGGAAACCGAAAGTGAAGCGGCGAGTTGGTCGTCAGTGTAAGGGTGACTTGGAGGAGGTCATGTGAAGAGGAGATGAAAACGTGTGGGCAGACTTTGAGCAAGGTGAAGACTCTAGCAGAGAACCGAACGCAATGGAGAGGCACGACTGAAACCCTATGTTCCTCTAGGAATTAAAGGAAACAACAATAATAATACTTGTTGTATGACTCATGATTGGACAAATTTTTTAAAAACAATTGATGTTCCTTTTATATATAAACCTCTGTTATGTTAATTTCGATTAATTTCCCTGAAGAAGTTCGGACCAGATTGCTGAACAAAATGTTGGATTTTACAAATATAATTTTTTTACAAACGAGCAGCTAATCCTTGCTTAGCCGGTAGTAAAACCGATTAACTTCGAAAGAGAGTTGAACGTAGGACTAGCAACCTTCCTCCCCGTAAAAATAAAAAAAACAGAAAAACAACCATGCTAGAGTGACATGGAGTAGATCGTCCGAGGAAAGAGAGAGAGACTTTGACTAATCGTCGGGTCAGTTGAAGAGAACAGTCCAAAATGGAGCTGCGCTGTTGTAGTTCTATGCTCCACTTGGAACCCAAAAGAATAATAAATAATAATAGTAACGACAATTGTATTTAGTAGATAGACTAGTTACGACGACCATGTGAAAGACAAAGTTTGAAAGTACTTTTTCCTCAATTTGATAACAGAACAATTAAGTGATGATTTTAAGGACACTTAATTCAATCACTTGAAAAATCCTTTCAAATAATCATACCATTTTAGAGATCTAGAAATTACTACAAAGTAAAGGTATTTATAAATGTCTAAATTTCATTTGAGGCTCAAATTTCGTAGAATTATTTAGTCAAAAACGTTAATATAAATTATTACGAATTATTATTATTTTAAATGTATTTCACATAACGGCCATAACCAGTTGACGTTTGATATGGACACACCTTTGATATTCTTTAGAATAATGCCTATTTAAACCATCTTACAAATTGAATTTAGAACTTGCGTATTTTATAGTGAAGTGAAGTCATAATACTGTTTAATACTACTCACTGGTTGAAATGAGTAGTAGCTGTATACACCACTCATATCATCAACCAGT